TAGAATATTGTTAAAAAGGTAGGCCTCTGTAGGTAAGAACTTAAAAATAGGCCAAGCCTCTACTAGTCTAGGCTAGGCCTACTACCTGACTCCAGGCGAGGCCTGAGCCATCCTACTGGAAAGTTAAAGTTTTGTTGTATTTGTATGGTATGCCATCTAGTCTAAGCTTAATTGTTTTTTCCATTGCCAACATTAGTCTTACTAGGGTCTATTCTAAATATTTTAGGCCCGTTTTATTAGGGAGGACTATTTAAATTTAGTCATGCCTAACTAGTCGACGCGAGTTTCGTGGCTCCAAAAATATGAACATTTGATTGGTTGAAATTGTTTATTTCGGTCCGCGCATTTATCCAAATACGAAATATAAGATTACGTCATTCTTTTGGCATCCGGGTGCCTGATTTCAGTGTTTTACTAGTCGCTTATTCCGTCTCTAAATTAACTTTCTCGTTGGGTGGCGCTGTCCAGAATGAGAAAAATAATAAAAAATAAGAGACTTGTGGCAAGTCTATCCCGTTCCGAAATTTTCATAATACTTTCACTCATTATGATAATTATTATAATAATATTTAAAAGCACCAAAAAAAAGTTCGACCGTCAGAACTTCTGCAAATACGAGAAAATGACGTTTAAACTTGCGAAATTGAAAGTTCTTTGCGCTAGATTAGCACACGACATTTTGTAAACGACATTGTACTCGTTCGAATATTGTATTTTTGATACGTAGTTTATTATTTGCGAACTTCGTATTACTGCTTTAAAAACAAATTTAAAAATTATAATTAGATACAGTTTGTATTTTAATTACAGAATAATATTGTTTAGACTACTATTAAATTGATTTTGTTACAATAACTTCACGTGTTGTGGTACAGCCAACAACAGTAAACAACAACATGGCGACTAGCGGCGGACAGTGTGCAGGTGGCGATTTTTTTTCCGTACGAAACATTTACATGAAACTCCACTCGGCTGAATCGACCCGAAAATCTCATTGCAGAATTCAGGAGGTCAAAAGGTCATCAACAGATAAACGTCTACAAAACAACTTCTGAGAGAACGTCGCTGTCTAATTTAAAAAAATACATGTTATTATGTTAATACCAATGGGTCGTTTAAAATGAAATATATATTTGATTAAGCTGCACGAGTAATGAAAAGTGTTATTTTAACTTTAGTTACATACTATGACAATTTTAATTTTTTAGATAGGACTTGGTTTTGCATAATTACCTAGGCCTACTAAGACCCTTTCTGGGAAAAGCACAAAGAGTAAGGAAAAGCGCGTTTTTCTTCATCAAATGAAACAGGGTGACAGTTATTTTCAAATTAAGAGAAGAACTGAGAATAGGCAGCTTTAAAATACTGGATGCCATAAGACCTGCCAAAATGGCAGAGCACCATATGAATGTAAAAATGAGCTAGTTATTAATACTAGGCATAGTAATCGGCAGGTTCTTGATTACAAGGCTAGACCAAGTTAATTACATGTAATGCCGAAATTATTATTATTATTATTATTATTAATTATTATTATTACCTGTACCTTAAGGGGAACTTAGACAATGGAGGAATTAGAGAAAAATTAAAAAAACGACGTTAAGGAGAAATAACACAAAAGATATTCCCCTTGGGCGATTTATTATTTATAGGCCTAGTAAATAGTACGGTATCTGTATGGTTCTTCATTACCTTAAGGCTTAGGCCAAGGTAATAATTGCTGAAATGATGATGATTATTATTATTATTTAACATTAAGTACATTACAATGATAGTTTGGACAAGTTCAATAACGCCAGAATGGTATATTATTTATTTAATAATATTTCTCTATGCGCTCTATTTTTTATTTAATGCTTCAACTTTGTCCAATTTTTTCCCAAAAAAATTTCAGTCAATGTCAGTATGTTGGTGTCAGCCTATGACCCTAGGCCTAGTTTAAGGAGGGGCCTAGGTAAGATCTCAGCCTGTTAGGCCTCTTTCTCTCTAGCCTTTGGTATTACTGTACATATCTACACTTTATAACAGGAGGTACTAGCTGTTGTTGTTGTAGATAATATACTAACATTTAATAACATCCAAGAAGGTCACAGTTAGTTACACACGTACATTCCGTAAGTCCGTGAGATTTCATAGGCCTACCG